GGGCAGTGGTCTAGACCACTGCCTAGACACATGTCTGTCATAGCCAACTGGCTCCACATGGACGTTAAACTTGATTAAATAAATAAATAAATATACAAAAAGACATCCCCATATCCTCGCGGATATCCAAGGATAGCCTGATTAAGGATATAATATTGAAATAATATCTATTATTCTCAATTTACGGATATGGTATGCAAGCCAATATCCAATAGGAGGATATGCCGCCGGCTACTACGGACCTGCGATCGAATAATGCTGTTGGGTTTCTGCATTGAATGTTGAATACTACTAGTAGCGGGGCCAAGCGCAACCAATCCTTTACCTTGAACCCCGCACTCAGCCAGCCATGGTGCCAGACACTCACCGCATGTTTCTCAAGTGTGTACTGGTTAAAAGTATCTGCAATATAGACAAGAGCGTAGTTCATATACTAGTAATACATCGTGGCATATCCGTAGCAGGAGATAGGTCTAGACTTGCGCAACACTCTGCAGTCGGTTTATTGCCCTTCGTTGCGCTACTATTTAAAAGGAGCCAGGATAGAGAGGAAAGCAATAAAGCAATAGAAATCTACTCAATTAACTAAATAGATATTGCAATATCGAAGCTGGTGAGGTACTATAAAGAGCACAACCGGTATATCTCAACCTGCTGACAGAATTTCCTATGACCTTGATTCTAGATCCGCATTTCTTATTTGATAATATAGTATCACCCGCATCAAACTCCTGAGGTGGGTGTGCGTCTAAGACTGCTACCGGCGCAGAAAAAGGCCACAGCGCCTCGGGGTTGCCCAACTCACGGGCAATGCATACCAGTTGACCCATCTGACATCGCGAAGACGGGACGGTGGGGATAAATTCTCTTAGTGTGCGGTGTGCAGGAGGATTCTACCAATTACAATAATAGAGAGTAATACAGAGTCCCAGTTAGTGGAATCCACTTAGTATGTTAAGAGCCGAGTCTTACCCTAAATTTAATTCTTCTGAGTAGAACCCCACAGCCTAACTAGCTTGGCCTCTGGAGTGGCCTATCACAGACTGGAAGCCAGTTATTTAATAATATTAAGGACGAAGTATAGATTATTAGTATACAAGTCTATTGGCAGAAGGAATTATGGTTCCGAGTAAGGAGCTAGATTCATCTATTTATATATTTCTACGGGAATCACAGAGTATTCACTCGAAGGGGTTTTGGGTCCTGATCTTAGACCTATAATAGGTTCTGCCGAATCCTGCTGGTCAGACTACCCTGTAGCAATATATATTGGCTTTGTAGAATGCCTACTTATCAAGGTATATACAGTATCGGAATTTTTCTTCTATTGATTTACGTGGTATAACTTCGGTGACTTCGTCATATTCCAGTTAGGTTGATCTAGATTTAAATATTCTTGAGATCGTCACTGAATTGGGGATGTGTTCTTGTCTATTTAACTCTAGTATCAGTCAAAAAATAACTAAGTATAGGTACTAAATACCATCGCTTCAATTTAACCGAAGGTGGTAGGCGTGAAGCGCAGTTTAGCATGTATACATTCGGGAATTGGGCGGGAGAATGTACTCGCATAACACTAATGGTTATAGGCATACACATACTATTAGTACAGATTCCACTTCGTGGCGTGAAGCGATATGCTGAGGGTTGGTGAACTATAAATGAACAAATAGTCTTGAATGATTCATGGACACCAGTATAGCTGATGGAAAGTTTGTAAAATCCTTCCGATACAACCGAGGCTTGTAATTGCCATTGTGTGGTAAATCGGGAGGTCTGCGGTTGGAAAGGCTGTGCATGGAGCTATAATTGTGGAGATATTTCAACCGTACTGATGCCCAATCAATCTTTCCTGGCCTCGTAGCATATCCTCATATTGGACCAGGTTCAGTGTTGAGGGGAGGAAAAGAAAGGCTCATGTCGGATTAAGAATGGGTACAGAATATTAATGCGCCAATATAGTACCTCCTTGTTTATAGATTATCACTGCACGCATCTCTAATAGGGATTGTTGAGGAAGCAGAAAGTAGGGGGGAAGGGCAGTAGAAAGGGTAGCCTAGACACGCCTAGGTGATACCCAACAGATAACGAATACCAAGGAGGGCATAGCACAAAGGTCCTGGCGCAGACAGGGCGAGGAAAAGGACCTGGACGAACATAAAATAATGGATAGAGAGGGCTAGTAGAGCCTCCGGGGGCAATCTAGGGGCAGTGGTCTAGACCACTGCCTGGAAACATGTGTCTGTCATAGCCAAATGGCTCTATATAAACGTTAAACTTGATGAAATAAATATAGCCTTGTATCATCTACAGTGCTAAGGTGGGCTAATTCTTTCTTATTATAGGAGCAACCAAGTCCTGGGGCCTTTGTATAGCCAAATTTATATTATTAGCTTCAGTGGAATATATTCTAAGAGATTCATTTACTGTATATCCTCCCTTTTCTTCAATCTATCGAGATATTAATCAATATTATACGTGGGTAAGTTTTTAATCCTCTACAAATGAATAGTAATGTTTTTAAGTCCAATTCACCTCAAATTTCTTTTCTGGGATAGAACCACAAGGTCAAGTATCAATCCTGAGCTATGAATTATATCGCAATATCTATTCAAGTTGATCATAGGTCACGGTAAATCCTCCATCAGAGCCTTGGACTACAAGAGCGAATGATTTACCCTTTCCTTCGCCACTGCTAAAGTCAATAGTAGCGCCATCTCTGGAAACGGCGGAATAGTCGACAATCTCTCCTGGCACCTGCTGGCTCTCGGTGATGAAGAATTTCATTTTCGGGGTGACTTGAATTTTTTCATTGTTGAATGGTGCCACCTAGCAATAAAAATACTATTAGTATATGCAAATTTTGAGGATGATAGGTTTGTTTTTTAAAAAAAAAAAAAAGAAAAGAAAAGACTATACCGATGCAACGGGAAAAAGCTGTCCTCGGTTATTGGGCTTGGCAAGTCCAACCAGATAGTTGTTGTTAGGTACCATAAAGTCAGTGCCAGTGTCGATTTCAAATGCACCAGGAATAGCGGTTGAACTAGTTGGTTTGATAGTAGGGAAGTTTTGTATAACTGCCATGTCAAAGGTACCTGAATATGGTTAGTATCCTTACTTTAGATTTTAAATGAATTTGGTTCATACTTCCGGGTTCTGTTTCAGTGCCAGGTTGAGCAAACATGCTCATACCAGGGTTGACAACAACACCTGGCATAGGAGATTCGGGAGTAGTTCCAGTCCCTAGAAAGCCATTTTTTAGCTTATATAATGAACCATCAAGAACAACAGTTACTCACAAGCGTAGAAGTCCAATTCAGTTTGAACTTCAAAGCTTCCCTGGTCTGGAACGAATTGTGTAAACCAGACATTCATCCAAGGTTGCTGACCACCACTGAACTGAGGGGGTTCCATAAAGATCGCGTAATTGGTATTTGCACCACGCTGATTTTGGACAGAAATAGTGTAAATGGTCATTTTGCTGGGAAATGACTGTACTCTTGAATAAAAGCCAAAAGGAGATATGTATCGATGCAAAAATCCAACAACTGACAGAATGAGACGGGGTATTTAAGCAAAACTCTACCTCTAGCGTTTGCGTACTCTGTTCAGTGCAGACATACGTTCGGGTAGACGTACAGCTGATGTCGGTGATGAAAATGTGGGGTTTTCACCATGAAAATATGATCGGTCATAGACTAGATGGAATTTCTTAGTGATTCTAGAGGGTGGTGAGGTGGGGAATAAAATACAGAAACTTTATTGAAGTTATTTTACAGAATACATTATTCCACTCCAATTTTTGGGCTGAAGAGGGGTAAAATTGCGGCCCTGCCCAATACCACAACATCCTCCAAATCCGAGTGAAGAACAAATCACAATGACGTGTTACACCGATCGTAGTGGTTCTTGATGGTGGTTTGACGCCTTGAAATGAAATGGTTTAATCTAATGCAAGTAGCAAGTGGTTTTTTTTCAGTTCTCTCTCTGCCTATTCAATCAGATGAATAAGACGAATCCATATCTAATTTAGCGACACAGTATACTTTCACGTAAAGGTTACACGGGCTAGCCCGTGCCTAGAATCGGAAGACCTACTGCTTAATTACCTAGAATAGTCTGGACAGCTAGAATCTATGCACCGTGCGAGGCGGCTTAACCCGACTATGACCTATGGACAGAATCATTCCTCTGAATAACATGCCCCACCAGAGGCCAAAGGATCACGGTCAACGAGAGCTGAAAAGTGGATTGCAAAATGGAGTTTTCACAAACTCAGCCATACTTTGGAGTTGGAAATCATGGATTTGGGAGCTTGGGTATCGGGGTCTTCCGGAGAGCAAGTATCTCAAATACTTCCCAAAATTCTTCTTCCAAGGCTGGTAACTGGCCATGGTGTGTGGAACGAGATTTGAAAGTACTTCTCGGCTTCATGCAATATTTACGGCGTTCACGGGCTCATGTTCTTGCTTCAACCGGCGAAGCGCCCGCATAGCTATACATAGTGGACAGGGGGGTTGGCAACGTTAGGTCGCTGACTAATTCATCAGTAGTTTCAGACGGTTTTTAATGGTTACTAGTAGTTTAAACAAAACAAAAATCAGTTCTAAAGTCATATGATAGTTATTATATTATTCTTTACTTATTAGTCATAATTTTAAGTTCTGTATAGATTTTGTATAGAAATCTATAAACACTGAAACATAATACAACAGTCAATATTATTATTATTTATTTAATCAAGTTTAACGTCCATATGGAGCCAGTTGGCTATGACAGACACATGCGTCTGGGCAGTGGTCTAGACCACTGCCCCTAATTTATCTCTAGGAGCTCTATAAGCTCCTACTATCCTTCGTATATTTGTTCTGGTCCTTTTCCTTGCCCGATCCGCCTATCTACGCCAGAGCATTTGGGCTGTGCCCTCCTCGGTATTTATTGCCTGTTGGGTAACTCCTAGATGTGCCTAGGCTACCCCTCCCACTATCCTTCTTCCCTACTCTCTGCTTCCTCCACTAGCCCAAGATCTCTTAAGTTGTCTCTAGAGATCCTATCTATCTCCCTGGCTGCCTCTCCTGGGAAGCACCCAGCCTTTGTTGTTGCAAGGATCCACTAGCCAAAACCCGCCTTCGACTTGGGCTTCAACCACAACTGGTAAGTACCAAACTTTCAGGAATAATAAATAAGGCCCTCCAGAGTACGAATCTTCTATCAGATTTAAGATAACTCTTGTGGTTGTTGAGATATCCCTGATCAAAGTTCGGGATTTTGATGGTTTTTATGAATAGAGATTATCTAAGTATACCGCTGGAATTTCATAGTCAAAACTAAACCCGTTTGGATTTTTGTGGTCAAAACTAAGCCTATTTCAGTCGTGACCGCCACGCTTACTACTTTCAGACTAGGTATACTGATATTATAATCTATTGTCTTTATTCTCTGCGCATGTTGTTTCAGCCCCTAATCCCCTCAATTATTTTCTCTGCAATATGTAGCTGTCTACCAATTGCTCTATCCCCATGGTGCCCCCATCACCTATTCCTTCTGTACATAAACGAGGGCGACTGCGTGTCTATTCATTCACCGCACAGAAACAAACATCCAATATTGCCCAGCAGCGGAGAAAGCGACAGTCCACCCGTGCTGCTGAGCGAAGTACTGAATACTATTAGTATTACACACCCACGGCTGCTGTGCTGCCTGAGCCTGATCCTTCTACTGCGACCTACTTCTTCCCGGACAAACCAATATTTCCTGCGAAACTAGAACTGCTGCTGCCACCTCTTAGTTCCCCGACACTACCCGTTAACTCTATTCCCGATAATATACCCTCGATCGCGCCTGAGACTGTGGTATTATCTGCCACACCTCTCCCCACCGTCTCTGTAGAAATTATTATCCCGTGTAGTACTTCACCGAATCGCTTGGACTTGCCTGATCCCGAGATCCTCCTAGCTGTACAGGCTCTTGGGCAGACCCTGACCGATTAACTATACACCCACCATGGCTGCTGTGTGCACTGCCATCGCCAACAGGAGACTCAGTATTTTACTCAGCATACAGATTATTCGGGCCTGAAAGACTACCTGGAACGGGTACTGACCGAGGGCGGATTTCCGGATGTTCTACGGGTCCCGACAATAGCGCGGAGGAAGGACCACCTTGCCCGTCAGGTCAGTAGTGAGCAGAGGCAACAGGTATATTGTGGTATCTCCGTAGAGCTATCCCATGCTGATCCTGTCCATGTCTGTCTCGCGACCGATTATCGCAGTGACACAGTAACGGAGGTGACCTTTGATTTTAACAGTATCGTGGGGTTTGCATCGAGCCTTGCCGTGATCAAGCAGGGAGTACAGTAGAACCCGACCCAGATAGCTGTGTCTGATCTCCAGTCCAGTCTCCACCTCGATCCCCTGCCCGTGCAGTACCTGGATCCACAGGGCCGATTTTACCGGACTCTTCGCGCCGTCCACGAGATCCCGCACTATACTTTTGGACGGCTGACTGGGTTTAAGGATATTTCTCTTATCTTACTGTTTCCCCGGCTCTACCGGAAGGAGCAGTAGTCCAGCCGTCTCCAGGACCAGGACTTTCAGATCTGAATAGATCAGGTCTTGCTGCCTGCGATCTATCGGTACTACAACAGGTCTCTTATACAGTATTATCCCTCCAGCTTTGAATATAGCCGACTGAACGGGACGGCCCGCGGAGTCGAACCCCGGATGCAGCGGGTCGAGTCTACGGCACGGCAGCAGCAGCTATGTTATTTTCTCCCGCCTGATATACTGCTGCAGATCTGGGCCAGTATCCTGGAGACTGTCCAACAGCCCGGGCAGCAGTAGTTCCAGGATATTACTATTCTTCTCCAAGAAAAGAATCTGAAGACCCTGACCAAAGCTTCTACCTGGGAGGGGATAGTGCAGCTCTTCCAGCGGTACTGGGATTGTGTCAGTGACCAGACCTATCAGTCCGACCGGTTGTATCTCGATATTGGCAAGGAAACCTGCCCTGCTGGGCTCTCCCGGGTTGGTAGCACTGCGCAATTTTCTACACTGGGCCCTGATCCCGGTTCCGCGTCTTTCTCTACGGATGACGCTGGGCCCCGGACTGTCCTGTGGCGGCGATGCTGCCTGGAATCCTATAGCAAATGGATTCAACAGCAGCAGTCTCGGGGCTCCCCTCCACCGCGCGTGTAGTTCTACCCGACCAGTCTGCTGCAGGACACGGGGAGCCTAACCCTCGAGACGCGCCGGACCGCGCCCCAGCGGCAGGCCGGCCTCCTGTATAGCCAGTTCTACTCGAGTGTCAAGGAGGTGTTTGCGGCGGGGAAT